GTCACGGTTCGTGTTTTTTTCGTGGAAAGAAGAGTTATTTCCCTTAAAAATGTGAAGTGCAAGGATTATATTTTCTTTCAATTTGTTGAGACTACTATGATCTAAGGCTAATTTGCATACGGAGAGTTAAGTAACATTCATCGTCGACAAGGAAAAACCCTAGAAAAGCGACTACCAAGTTTTCTCCATATCTTTTCAAAAGTCCAACATTTAAAGGGTCTAAGGACGTTTGGTAATAACTAGAAACGTCATAGGTGCGGAAATTAGTCGATCAGATGCGGACCGTTACAATTCCAGCTTTGTGGTCAATATCGCGAATTTTGGAACATAAACGGAACATTGTACAGTACGCAGAGAAGAGTGCCCACAAATTTTATTGCATTAAGAAGTAGACTGGTCTTAGTACTTCTGATTTATCATTGACTTGAGTCTGGATCAGGTGCCACTTTTGTACAATTACTCTTCAGTTCTAGTTATGGAAATTACCTTTCCTGCCGAGCAAATTTTTTAAAGGTCATTTAAAAAAATTCATATCTCAGCCAACTTTCCACAGAATGCAACCTTTAAACCACAAAACTATTAATCAGAGTGGAAACTTTTGTGTGTAAAATAATTAGCTTATTCAGCTTTGTAAGGCAGGTTTGACAGAGCCGTAAAGTTTCAGCAAAATCGCGCCTCTTCCGACGGCAAACTGGCTAGTTTTCGGTCACCTAGAAAATCTTCCTGTAATATAGGGAAAAAATTGAATTGGTCCAAATAAATGTGATATTTCTTCATGGGAAAGGATAGTTATCTTCCACTGAAAAAATCAGGGCAATCCGTGAAAGACCGAAATTTGCCTTATCGGTTCTTACGCGGACAGCCTCTTAAAACTTACGGCTTTTATTTGTATTATTCAAGGTTAATATTGAAATTTTGAATTTACAGGTCCTCATCCATTCTTAAATAAGCTTCTTTTTAAGAGTGACTATTAAGTAGACTTAGGAAATGCCAGACCAGAAAACTTTTCAGTCGGAATTCATTCAGTTTTAACTTATTCGAATTCAAGCTGCGATGAAAGATGAAACCAGCTATAGCACAAGACGTTCAATTTGTATAACTTAGCATTTCCTTTTGTTTGAATTTAGCTACTTTGCTTAATTGCGTGACATTTTCACGAGCTGTAGTTGCTATTACTTCGAAATTACTGGAAACCTGATGGGGCGATAAATTCATGCGGGGTCATATTTCCGTATTCCTCGGTGATAAAATAACAGACGAGTTTCCTGCTTGACGACCTTCCTGTCTTAAAATTTTGCAGCAAGAAACATCAATGCTAAGAAGAAAGGAGAAACAATTTCTTTAAGAAGCAGAATGGCAAAATATATAGTTTAAATTCATTTCCTTGTATTACACTTTGTTCCAGTTCTCAGCACCATTCACCATTTTTTGCAAATTCATCTTTGGATTTAAACAAATGTCCTGAAAGTTGTCTACTTTAGAACTCTTCAATACAATACACATAAGAGACGTGAGTCTTTATTAGGGAAAGTTATTTAACCGAGACTATCAACTGACAAACACCTTCACCTCCACAGAGAGTCAAGAGTTTGAGCGCCTTCACCCCCAGAGTCAATTATGTGACAATTATGAAGATAGGAAATTGGTTCAAAATTTTTAGTTTATGGAAGAAAACCTACGATGTGACCATTCGATAAAAACCTAGTATTTAGTACTACGTCTGCATTACCCCATTTTTACAGTATTTAACAAAACCAAAGTTTGAATTTTTCTCCGGTAGTGGGGAATGATTAAGTTTGTCTTGCTCGTTTACAAAAGAATTGAGGGATTGTCCTCCAAACTGCCGCACGCATAGCTAGCCAGAAATCCCATACAACATGACTGCAAAAATCGCTACAAACATGCGCTGTGCGCGGAAGTGCCGATAAAATATGGCGGCCAAGTATAAAGGAAGAAGGGGGGAAACTATATTTCGCATTTCGTGGCATTAACGCGAGAAACTCAACGTTTCCCATCATCAAAATGGGTAAAGTCAAGTTCGAACCGTATTTTCATTGAAAGCAATATGGGGAAAGCTTGTTTTAGACGGGGCCTTTTGATGACAATTTACCTCATAAAATAGCCACACTTTCGTCTCAATATCCCTAAAATAGGGCTTACCTTCATGGTTCCTTACTTCTGCTACAAGAAAACGGTTGCACCGATTTGCTTCCCCATCATCGAAATTTACTTGCCAACGGGTCAAGCCGCTGACTGCCTAGAACTTCTGGCTATGGCGGCGTTCATTCTGTTAGGTTAATACGGAAAGTAATAATACCGCAGTTAATATAATTCTTTAAGACGCCCAACTTTCAAATAAACGCCGCCCTCAAATAAGCCCCGCGCTCCAACTAGCGCAACACCCGAGGTGTGAAAAATTTAGTAACACAATAAGTGGTATTAATCATAATATTATTGATTAATAATAACTTACTTGCTATTTAATCAGATTTAATTCTACCCTGTATTCTTTTTGTGCAATAAACGTTACATTTGTGGAAGGCACAAGTGTAATAAATGGACCAGTGTAGTAAAAGTCCCATCTGTAATAACTGTTGGACCCAAGTGTAATAAAGGTCCCATCTGTAATAACATTTGGACCCAAGCCAATTAGTTGTTTAATAGATTTATCAAAGTTATAACAGTTATAACAGTAATACCTCTCTCAAAATTTTGCGAAACATAAAAATAATGGCTAAAAACATTTTAAAAAGGTGCACAGCAAATACAAACATAGGCCAGGATGGACGAACTTACAAGAGATTAAAACGGATCGAAATTGTAGTAAGTACAGTCACCCCATTAATACGACACTGGGGGGCCAAAGAAAGTGTCCGTATTTAAGTAAATGAAGAAAATACTAAAGATACAAAACAGGACGTCAAATGAAATCTCTCTAACTTTCAGAAAGCCATCATTCCGTAGACTATTTCTTAAAACACTCAAAAGTCGCATATTTATACATTACTTATTCAAAAACTGTTCTCTGTATGACTCGTCTGATGCCAGACTAGGCTGAAACTGATGTCTAAAATCCATCCTATCCTGTGTACTGTAGCGCTGGAAACATCGACATGCTGTCACCTAAGTTTTAAAGCTTCAAAAGTGACTTTTTTATCGCATTTCATGCCCGACGGGCAAGCAATATTTGTTGTCTTTTTCTAATCATTGAGTTAAGAAAGAAATAAGTAGTGTGTAACAAAAAGTTCCCTGTGAAAATTATCGTTCATAACGTTTTAACTGAAATTGTGAGAAAATATCGAAGATCAAATCGAACGGAATTATGCCGTTTAGTAAATATATTAAAGATGCACGGTCTTTCACCCTTTTGACTTGTTTCCAAATTGGCTTGATCTTTTGCATCAGAAACTTAGAAACGTTTTCAGTCCCATTTAGACTTAAACAGAACTTAATAACAGCATTGCAAACTGACATTATTAATGGATGCGTCGTACATACATACCTTGCCATTCTCAGATGGAAGCTACACGGAAACAAATCAAACGCTGCAAGCTCTAGAAATTTACCAACGCGAACAACCTACTGGGTGTTAATGACATTCTTCCGCCCAGGAAGTATGCAAGTGTAATTATTTCAGTCCGGACATGTGGCGTATTTAGGGTCTATCAAGACAAAGATTCCGGTGTCCCCCTACCCGCCCCTCCCCCCCGACCTTTCTCCCTCTTTTGGTAAATGCACTTAACAGACTTTGTTAAAATTCGGAATTCTACGCCTCGCTGCGAAATTTGGTTTTGACAAATCATCTAAAGTGCGGTATCACAGCACAAAAATCTTCGCGGAAACAAAATTGTTCTTTTTTAGGCACTAGTTCAGGGAAGTTTACATGGCGTGGTAAAGATCTGTATTATGTAGGGGGTTTACGAGCAACTCGCTCGCTGAGCCGTAAAGGTACCAGGTATCTGAGTTTACATCTTGTTGTTCTTTAATCTTTACAGGAGCTATTATGTCTTGTTTACAGCATCACTTAACGAACTCTGCCAGTCAACTAACTGTAACTAATCTCAACCACTCTCCCTCTTGTGCTAAACACTAGCAACTTATACATGTAAAACGTAGGTACGTTTAGGCTTGCTGACCATGAGAGTTACAAACGCTTTTCCGAGTGACTTAAACGAATTTTCTGTTGATAACCAAAGTGGAATAAACAAACCCATAAGAAAACCAATGAAAGGGTGACAGCTAAACCCACGAGGCTCTACCTTAAACCAAAACAGGAACTCTGATGTAGGCAACAATCAAGGTCAGCGACGGTTCCAAAACGTGCCCACTTCAAGGACTGACAATCAGATTAAATAAATGACATTCATGTTGAAAACCTTCTTTAAAAGGTAATAGAATTTGAAAACCTGTCGACACAAATACGTATTACGCTTGATCTATAAACAGATCATAACAAGACTCTAGTCACGAGTGAAACGTCAAGCACAACACGAAATAAACTTAACATAAGCTTCAAAATACTTCACAACAATTATATTCCGCTCTTTACAAATACAATTTTAACACTCAAGCTCGCTAGCTTCCTTCGTTTGTCTACACATCATTTTTCGCACCATACCTGGAATTCAGAATCCACGGCTTTGGAATCCAGAATCCAAGACCGTCTTGGAAACCTTTACATGGGGCAAATTTTTCACAATGAACCTTAGTAAACACAACTCCACAACCTAGTCAGCTTCCTCTGTTTGTCTACACATCATCTTTCGTATTATTTTTACAACCGACGTGCGGATTTCATGATTACACCAACAATACAAAAATGGATTTACGGACGAGTTCAAGAACACAACATTATTTACCAAGTTCGACCAATTTCTGTCAAAAGCTATAACTGAGTTGTTACTTAGCAATGAATAAAATAGATATGGTAGATAACAAAATATCATGCAAATGAAGTAAATAAAAGTTTTTAAAGCGCGTTTCTTTGATATTATAAGGTTATTACCATCTGTAATACTAAAACTGTTCATCACAGCTTGTTGTTGAGCGTGAATCTGGATCTGATGATGACGAACAATGATATAAATTTTGATGTAAGAAGCCCACGAAATGACAAAAAAAACTGCAATAAAAACTCCCATAATAAGGATAAAAGAGCTTCCTATCCAAACCCTAAGGCATGATAAAAGTATGGAAAGAAACCAGAGACTTGCTGAAGTATTCATTGCACGTTTTGTGGTCATCAAATTGGGATACGTCACATGATAGTGGAGGGCTAAAAATCGATCTACGCTTATGGCTGTCATTGTTGCTAGGGAAATACCACAAAGTGAAACAGATATAAAGTCTTCGACTGTGGTAAGAGGCCCACCAGCTGAATATTGAAGTTCATTGGCAATGTGAACAGGTTGAGCAATAAGCCCAACAAGAAAATCTGTAATAGCAAGACTGCATAGAAAGATCGTAGATGGTACTGAACGAAGCGAAGGAGTTCTCAATATAGTGGCCAATACCAAAGCATTACCAGTGATGGATGTTAGCATCAGTGGAGCATTCAGAATACAATTTATGACAACAATAGTTTCAAAGTTAGAACTGTTGTCCATATTTCCAATGTTGTCCGGTTTTGATTCGTTCTTATAGATAAAAGAGTAGTTCAGCATCTTCGATTATTTCTCAGCTTTTGTTGATGCGCGTCCGGCGTTTTCTTTCAAAAACAAGCGGTGACTCAGATTTTATTTATAACTCGTTCTAAATGCGCAACTGGCACCTGTTTCAACTCTTTAAAAATCCTTAATACTTAGTGGATCATATTTTGATGCACGTCCGGCGTTTCCTTCACAAAAAGACGCTGTGACTGACAGCTTTTATTTGTGACTCGTTTTAAATGCGTAACTGACACTTGTTTCAACTCACCTCTTTAAAAGCCATTATAGATGGATTCATCCGAACTCTGTATGATGTTGTTCATAAGTAAAATTAAGATAATCTGTAATTAGTCTCAAATCGTTTTCATTGCCGCGCAGTTATTACCGACAATGTCAAAATAGTATTTAGAAATTAGAAGCAGCACGTAAAACATTATTTTATCGCATAGGTAACAACGCGAGAAACGGCTTCCTATATCTTATTTAGCGCTAAAACTCAGAAATATAAACAAAACACATACACAAAGTAGAGTTGAAAAGCCTTTATTTCAAAATAGTTTTTCATGTCCTCGAGATAGAACGGAGAAAACGTCAGACAAAATTGAAATAGAGAGTTTTCAGCTCCACTTTGTGTATATGTGTTTTATTTATATATATCTGAGTTTTAGAGCTAAATAAGAAGACATAAACTAAATTGAAATAAAGACTCTCAGTTCAACTCCACGTTGTGTATTTGTTTTGTTTATATATCTGAGTTTAAGCTCTAAATAAGATATAGGTAGCCGTTTCTCGCGTTGCTAGGTGATCGCTTCTCTTATTCCTATTTCTCTTTTAATAGAAGGTCTGAAAACCGAGCTCAAGTTACTTACCGGGCAAGTCTAGGCAAGCCTATTGTACTAGGAAGACTCTTATTAGTAAATTTATGCCGAATTAGTATGCAGGAAGGCACTTAATTAGTATGGAGGAAGGCATTTTTTTCCTAGGTTATAACAATGGGTGACGTCATAGACTATCCCTAAACTATCCTTACCTATCCACCAACGAGACTTAATTTCCAACATAGTAGACTGCTGTGTTTTCAGTCTGAATTTATTCAGTTTTAATTTATTCGAATTCAGCCCGAGATGAAAGAAGCTCTTTCACAAGAAGTCCAATCAGTATAATATAACTGTTCCATTTGTTTCAGTTAATGTATCGCTACTGTTGCTTGATCCACTCAGTAGAAAGAAAAAAAGGTGTCTATTAGTTTCAGACGCTTATCGATTTTGTAATAAGCAACTCTCTATCAGCCAATTTTTGCCCGGTTAGCATTAGGTAACATCGGCTGAAGCCAGACTGTTTCTTTCAGTAAAACTACTTGAATAACAACTTGAGTCAAACTTTACTGTGTAATATAAAGTAAGATAGAAAAACACCATTGAAATGCTTTTAACCCGAGTCGTTTGCTTTATATTCTACATCTACGTCCACTACACCATCGAGGACTAACTACCAAATACAGTAACTTTTAAAATATACATGTAGTCATGCCGTATCCCATATAAGATTGGAAAGCTAACCGTTTTCAGTTCAGTGGCTTCCCGGGGGGGGGGAGGGACCCCGCATATGAAAGGGTTGGGGATGCTGGTCGTCTCCCTTAGGGGTGTAAATTTCGGATTTTATCAGCTAAAAATAAAACAGTCAGCACAATCACATTTAACTTCTTGCGAGATTAAGGGAGATCTCGAAGGTTATTTCTGTTGGCGTAGAAGGTAAAAAGTTTTCGAAAAGACGGCGACACGATGTTCTACTAGTTTTATTATTTTGGCTAGGCGCGCTCGAATTTAAAATACTGAAATTTCTATTTTTCCGTTGCCTTAATATTTTCCTCGGCAATTTCCCCCGATTTTCAGTACATAAATCTTTAAAAACAAAAGCAAACAGCCAACGAGCGAGGACACCAGTTTTCCTGGTTTATTTTTCACAAAAAGCGAAGGCAAACAACCAGTCTGTTAACACTGAAAATTCCTTGAACAGCGATGCGATATCTTTTTTGTGCAAATTTACTTCCGGTAGCCGTCGTAGCTTGTCCCGTCCTCGTATCTTAAGGTCCCTATTGATGATGCGTGAACTGGTAATCCAAAATAATCCAATAAAGGCACTTTCAAAAACGTCCCATTCAAGAAGCACTAGCCTGCAAACGAAAAAACGAAACTAAAACCAGCTCTGGTTAGGACCGTCTTCGAGCCAGCGCCGAAAGCCTTGTTCTGGGACCAAATCTGTGTAGCAGGTTTTGAGTGCGTAAAACTGATGATTGGCCTGTTAAAAAAGTTATTACCGATTTGCCAATCAGAGTGAAGGAAAATTCGAAATGCGCTTCCGGTATTTTTTTGAGTCCGTTAGGTACCCACAACAAGGATCTCGGCGCCGCTTCGCAGACGTTACTAGCCAGGGAAAGATTACGCCAGTGCGATGCAGACTACTTGAATTACCCCTGGGGTAAAAATGACAGCAGCGACAACTTCCTGTTTTATATTAATTGGGTGTTTAATTTTTATAATTCCTACTTCTCGTTTTTAAAAATTTTTGTTAAAAGAGCAAATTCAGTACCCACATCTTAACGCTGCGAAAGTCAGTTACTACTCAGTTTAAACCATTTATTTCTCTTTTGAAAGATCTGAAACAGTCGGCACGATTACTATCGCATCTGACTGGTGTATTTCAATTACGGCTCCCACGCGCGAGTCTGCGAGAAAAAAAGCGAAAACAAATGTTGAAGCCATGCACGGTAAACCAGTAAAATATTTGCACGTCAAGGGAATTTTGCAGTGTACCAAAATGCAAGAATTAATTTACTATGGGACTTACTAATTTGATAGAAAGAAGAAGAGGAGCGTTGAATGGTGAAACAAGAAGGTTTTAGTAAGCTTAGAACTAGTTTCTCAGAAATTTTTGCCTTACAAGGGTCTGCATGACAAGCAGAATGATAAGGCACATCTTTCACGCAGTTCTATAACCCTACGCCCTAAAACAGCAGCACTAACCCCGGCAGTTATGCAGGTTAAGCGCACGAGTGCTTTCTTGCTTTAACCTTTCGACTTGTTTCTAACTGAATTGCAGGTGAAATTGGCTCGATCGTTTCACAGAAACGTTTCTGATCCGATTTAGACCTAAATAGAACTTACTAATAATACTAAACATTACTGGAAAACTCATACTTTTACGTCTTACTAACAGAAGGAAACTAGACGACAAAATCAGCCACTGCAAGCGCTACAAATTTACCAACGAGCACGACTTATTGGGTGTTAATAACTTTTCTTTCGTCCAAGGAGTATTTGAATACGAATGCAAGATATAATTATTTAGATCAGACATGTGTCCGATTCATCAGGTCTACCAAGACAAAGATTTCAGGGTCCTTCTCCCTCCCTCTAATGGTAAATAGATAAATTTTAATGTTAAAATTCGGACTCTCTACCATTACCCCGCACTATGATGATGCTAAGACGGTCTATATTCTTATGGAAAAGGATCAATAATATTGTGTAACTACAAGGAAGGTTGAAATTATGATTTGTCACTGAGACACAATTCAACAATTAAAGTTTAGAATTCTCCGCTCCATTACCTTAGCGAACTTAAAAATTTCGTGGGAGATGTATGAAAAAGGAGACAGTAATGATTGTTTTCACTTTTAGCAGTTGAAAAAGGAACATAACAAAAATGATATGTTAAAATAAGCTCCGGAAAGCTCAAAATAGTGTTAGAGAATTAAAAAGTGTCACTAGTTTGAGCGGAAGTTGTTGGAAGACTGAAAATCTTTACCAATTTATGGTTATTCAACATTTGCCTTTGATCTCATGCTTAGCTAATATGGCAGGTGACAGACGTTTATTGGTTCAGTTGTTTTTTCATAATAGCACTAAATAAATATACACACAGACCGGGTAATTTTTCTGGTAATAATTTGTGCCTTTCTCTATTTTTTTAAAAATAATTAAAAAAAAATAATAAGTAGTAAAGCGAGCAGCTGTTTGAGTTATGATGAATGGTAATTAGGGGTTTTTAAAATAAATATTTTTATATATTTATAAAATGGATCTTCACCTGGCGCTAAGCTAGAGACTATGCATTCTTAACTTCGACCCGTTTCATCCCACCCCCATAAGATTAATTACACGTCAAAAAAGGGTTGTAAGAATAATGTCGAGTGCTTTCCATACTCACACTGACTCTTTATTTAAAAGTTGAGGAATTCTGAATCCTGAGAGTATGTACAAACTTCAAATCGGAAAATTTATGTATCAATACAAATGCGGCTAACTTCCTGATAGCTTCAATGATATGTTTTTAGTGACACGCCAGGTGCATTCGTATGGCACAAGAAGTTAGGAGCTTTTTTATTTACCACAATACAGGACTAATATATAAATAAGTTCCTCTCAGTTTTTTAGCGTAACCATGATTAATACGATTATCTAGGATATATTTTAAGATTTACTCTAGCTCTGCCATTGATTTTTGCATGTATATTTTTGTTAATATTTTGTTGTTATAATTTAACTGAGGGAGCCCATTCCTTATAAGGCAAGGTTTAAGGAAGTTTGCATAGCGCAGTGAAGGTCTCTTTACAAATACAAGTTTAACCTTCAAGCTCGCTAGCTATACTTCCGTTTGTTTACACATCATTTTACGGACTACCTTTACAGCTGACGTTCGGATTTCACGATTACACCAACAGTACAAAAATGGATTTACGGACGAGTTCAGGAACACAACAGTCTCCGCAAAGGTCCAATTTACCTCATAGCCTATACCTGAGGTGGTTCGTAGCAATGAATAAGATAGATAAGGTAAGTAACAACATACCATGCAGATGAAATATATAAAAGTCTTTAAAGCATGTTTCTTTGATAATATCATGTTATTACTATCTGGAATATTTACACTAATATTAAAACTGTTCACAGCTTGTTGATGAGCGTGAATCTGGATCTGATGGTGACGAACAATGAAATAAATTTTGATGTAAGAAGCGGACGAAAGGACAAAACAAATTGTAATATACACTCCTTCAAAAATAAAAATAACTTCTGTTCCCCAAGCTACTCTAAGGCATGCTAAAAGTACGGATGGAAACCAGAGACTTGCTGAGGCATACATTGCACGTTTTGTTGTCATTAAATTCGGATACGTCATGTGATAGTGAAGAGCTAGAAGTCGATCTACGCTTATGGCTGTCATTGTTGCCAATGAAACACCACAAAGTGAAACAGATATCAAATCTTCGACTTTGGAAAGAGGCCCACCAGTTGAGTGGTATAGTTAACTGGCAATGTAAAAAGGTTGACCCACAAGTCCAAGAAGAAGACCTGTACTAGCGAGACTGCATAGGAAGATAATAGACGGTACTGAACGAAGCGAAGGAATTCTCAATATGGCGGCCAACACCAAAGCATTACCAGTGATGGATGTGAGCATCAATGGAACATTGAGGATACAATTTATGACAACAATAGTTTCAAAGTTAGAAATGTTGTCCATTTTTCCCATGTTGTCGGAGTTTGATTCGTTCTTACTGAAGAAGGAGTAGTTTGGCATCTTCGATTTCTTTTTATAGCTTTTTTTGTTGCTCGTCGCGTTTCCTTAACAAAAAGACGCGGTGACTTTGCAGCTTTTAACTCGTTATTTGAATGTTCTTATTGGGTAATTGGCGCTTGCAGTCTTTGACTCTTTGAAAACCCTTTATTGATGGATTCATCCAAACTCTGTTTTCAATAAGTAAAATTTACGGAGCTGTAATTAGTCTCCCAACGTTTTAATTGCCTCACAATTATTAGTATACCGACCATGTCAAAATAGTATGCAGAAACTTACACAGTGCATCAAGAAACGTCGATCTCTTAGCTGGCAATATCAAAAAGACTATCCACGAGAGGAAGGGGGCTCAAAATGAAAGCTTGAAACTTACGCCTTTTTTTGTATTATTCAAGATTAATATTGAAATATTAAATTCACACGTCCTCATCTATCAAAATAAAAACTGTTATCTTTTAAGAAAGCTCTTTTTAAGAGTATTAAGTAGACTTGGGAAATGCTAAAAAACTTTTCATTCTGAATTCACTGATTCCCAGTTTTAATTTATTTGAATTCAGGCTGAGATGAGAGATGAAACCAGCTCTATCACAAGAAGTTCAATTTGTTAAATTTAGCATTTCCATTTGTTTTCATTTAGCTACTTTGCTTGGTCGCGTGACATTTTCACAAGCTGTAATTGCTATTATTTCAAAACTACTAGAAACGTAATGGAGCGATAAATTCATGCGGGGTCATATTTCCGTATGCCTCGGGGTTGAAGTAAAAGACGAGTTTCCTGCTTGACGACGACGTAAAAAGAAAGGAGAAACAATTTGCTTAAGAAGCAGAATGGTAAAATATATATCTTTTTAATTCCTTTCATTGTTTTACGCGTTGCTCCAGTTCTCAGCACCATTTACTATCTATGCCTAAAACCCATTCCATTCCTCTACTTTTCACGGGATCATTTGCGGTCGACAATGGTGATCACTTGGGGTCGAGGATCATTTACGGTCCATTTTGGGGATCATTTGCGGTACTGTATATTTCCGAGTTCCGAAAACTCTCACTTTCAAAACGAGGCTAAGAGCAAAACCATACTTGTGAAAAGGAGTTGCTCAAATTATTATGCAGACCCTTTTTTAAGTATTCTTAACCTCAACCCCTCCTTCCCAGCCCCAAACCAAAGATGAAAACTTTAAGAACATAAAGAGCAAACCGTTTTCCATTTGTAGGTCTAAACAGTGGCTAGAAATAGTCTTCTTCTAAAAACGTTCGGAATGAGACGATGTCAATGAACGTTTTTCTGGTGACTAAAATTTTAGTTAGAGGAGCCACTACGGACGAATTATCCGTCCTGACGGATAATTCGTCTCTAGTATAAATTCGGTGCTAAGACGAATTATGAAGCAAAGTTCGTCTGAGGCTGATTTGTCTGTTAGCACGTCTTGAAGACGTGCTAATAGGTACTAAACGGTACTGAACGAAGCGAAGTAGTTCTCAGTATAGTGCCCAATACCAAAGCATTACCAGTGATGGATGTTAGCATCAGTGGAGCATTGAGAATACAATTTATGACAACAATAGTTTCAAAGTTAGAACTGTTGTTCATATTTCTAATGTTGTGTCCGGTTTTAATTCGTTCTTATAGATAAAAGGGTAGATTAGTTTAGCATCTTCGATTATTTCTTAGCTTTTGTTGATGCGCGTCCGGTGTTTCCCTTGAAAAACAAGCGGTGAGTGACAGGTTTTATTTGTAACTAGTTCTAAATGCGCAACTGGCACCTGTTTCCGAACTCTTTAAAAATCCTTAATACTTAGTGGATTATTTGTTGATGCACGTCCGGCGTTTCCTTCACAAAAAGACGCTGTGACTGACAGCTTTCATTTGTGACTCGTTCTCGTTGTGATACCTGTTTCAGCTCTTTAAAAGCTTTTATAGATGGATTCATCCAAACTCTTTATGATGTTGTTCATATGCAAAATTAAGATAATCTGTAATTAGTCTCAAAACGTTTTCATTGTTATTACCGACAATGTCAAAATAGTGTTTAGACAGGGGCACCCAACCAGAATATAGTTCAAAACCACTTAAACATTGCATTGTTAAACGTATTTTATTATTTGAACGGTGGATATGAGCATATTTTTATCCCCTAAAAATTTTTCATCTGTTCGGATTTCCTCGCTGAAAGTGATCCGAAAATTACAGGGATCAAAACTTACCTTTTCGAAAATTTCAGCCAGAAAAAAGGCTCCCGAAAATTCTAGGTGACCTTTTTAGGGCAAAAATGCGTTAAAAATGGGCAATTACACCATTTTTTAGATGTTTGAAAATTCTAGGAGAGGCAGGTAAGCAAGAAATTCTAATTTTACAACTAATGTTCCGAAAATTCTAGATCTCAAATCGTCTCCCGAACAGAAATTTTCCGAAAATTGACGTTGGGTGCCCCTGTTTAGAAATTAGAAGCAGCACATAAAACATTTATCGCGTAGGTAACACACAAAAAAGTTTTCCTAGAAGGGAAGCTAGGGAGCTGAAAATGAGAGCTAAAAACTTACAGCTTTTATTATTATTATTTAAGGTTAATGGTGTTTTCAGTCTGAATTTATTCAGTTTTAATTTACTCGAATTCATTCCGAGATGAAAGAAGCTCTTTAACAAGAAGTCCAATCAGTATAATATAACTGTTCCATTTGTTTCAGTTAATGTATCGCTACTGTGGCTTGATCCACTCAGTAGAAAGAAAAAAAGGTGTCTATTAGTTTCAGACGCTTATCGATTTTGCCATAAACAACTAGCTTGTTAGCAATGTTGGTGATTTAATTCACTCACTCGATCAAGTATTAAGAGCCCGACATTTCCCTTTGTCGCGTGTCTTTGAAATAAAGGGTGTAATAGATAACAGTTGACCAGTTTGAACATGCCACCTAAATATGGTAGCGTTTGAAGGAAACAATGGAGAAAAATTGTTATGTATCAGCTTTTCTATTCTTTTCAGAATCGAAAAAGGAAAATATCCACTGCTCTGAATAAATATAATTAACAGATCACAATATCGTGAGGGCAAAGACAGCCCTTCAGTTCTTGAACATCACCATATTTCCAAAGGTTTAGGAAGCTAGACAGCCAAGTGTGACACTCTTGCTGAATGAATTTTCCATTCGCTACTTTACAAATAAGAAGGGAACTGGAGCCGAAATGCGTCCAGCAATTGCTTCTGGGATCGTGACCAGGGACGCTCCAGTCAGTCATAGAGTACTTAAGTGATGACGTCATAAAATGAAATTTCTAAAATAATGGGATTTGTCCGAATATTCTGAAAGAACAATGTCCAAGAGGCCTACTTGCCAAAAATGAGCATTTCGGGACAAATTGTCCCTGAGATGTTAGCCGGTTATACTCAGAAAACTCCATACAAACGTCAACTCTTCGAATTTTTTGGGGGGTCGACCCAAAAAAATTTAGAAGGGTTTGTATGGAGTTTTCTAAGCATAACTGGGCTACGATCTCAGAGGCAATTTGCCCCGAAATGCTTATTTTTGGCAAGTAGGCCTCTTGGACATGGTTCTTTCAGAATAACCGGACAAATCCCATAATTTCAGAAAATTTCATGTTTATGACGTCATTCTTTAGTACTCTATTTACAGACGAGATAAAGGGTCAAGTTTACGGCAAATGGCAAACGTCAGATATAAGTCGAGAATTTCTCAGAATAGAAAATAAACTGATAAAAACTGCCCAGAAAAAGTCTTAGGGATAAAACCGGCGTGAAGCTACTTATTTTTGTGTAGAAGTAATAAACAGTAAACTACAATTAAGGGGAAACCCCGGTCACATGGTACAAATTCACGTTCTCCGTTTGGCGTGGTGAATCGTAAACTCTCTATCAGCCAATTTTTGCCCGGTTAGCATTAGGTAACACCGGCTGAAGCCAGACTACTTCTTTCAGTAAAATTAGTTGAATAACAACTTGAGTCAAACTTTACTGTGTAATATAAATTAAGATAGAAAAACACCATTGGAATGCTTTGTACCCGAGTCGTTTGCTTTACATTCTAAACCATCGAGGACTAACTACCAAGACATTTTTCAGGCTTTCTGCATAAGTTACATATTCAACTTTGATGATCTTATCGACTCAGCATTTATTTCTTCATCCCACAGTTCAAACATATGAAATTCATATATTCATCATGTCATCTTTTCCGGGTATATTAATATTACGAACCCATTTAATGGCCAGCTTCCAGTTGGCTACACCGGCATCTTAGAGGTCAGGGTTCGAATCGACTCGAGTCCCGGTAAGCTTGATTTTTTAAGGCTTTTAGCCTTTCTTTTCTCAACTGCATAAGTTGCGTATTTAGCCGTGATGATCTCCGTATCTACTATACTTCTTCATTTCGCAGTTAAAATATATGAAATCCTGATGAAATTCATATATTTATAGAAAACAAAATAATTGCATGGAGTTATAAGTCACTCTTGACAAACAGCCCTTCACAGGTTCCTACACTAAACTAATCGATCACACAATGAAACTATCTCTATATCAGGATGGGAGTAGCTGTTCACTCAGCATGGACAAATTGTGATTTTCTTCCCAGTTTCCAAATATTGAACTGCCACTGCTATGCTTGGAACAACTCGGACATGACCTATTGAC